CCCAACAGCTAGCTAAAACATCTCAGTGGTTGCTAGATTGCGTGCTCAGCAACCCTACATATATAAAACCACTAGGAGTAAGTAATATACAATATGCAAAGTTAAACACATGTACTTATAAAATTAAAAACGTTAAAGTCAATGACCTAGGCACGCATCATACGCTTGAAATAAATTGAACAAGATGATAAATTTATTTATTTATCTGGCCCGGGCATCGTCTTTTGGAATGGAAAGGCGTATTTTATTTTTTTTAATTTATTTTTAAAAAATGAATTAGTAGCTATTAAAATGTAATTAATTCGGTAATGGACAAGTTAAGTTAAGTTGGGGGTGCAGCAGAGCACTTTTGAAGTTTGAAATGTGTGAGTTGCGATTAGTGAGTGATTAAACAGCTTTCTCATCGTCCAATAATGGTCCACATGACCACACGTCTTTACACAAATGAGCGACACGTGGTCGGGCCGCATTGGAGAAAAGACTTGCCTCGGTTCGTGAATATTATTATAATTTTTGTGAGTGCACGCCAGAATCTTTTTGTTTTTGTGGCTTCTTTCTTTGGCGGAGGAGGAGAGATAGTGGAGTTGCTTGGTTTTGAAGTCTGTTTCTTTTATCCTATTCCTATTCCTATTCCTATTCCTATTCGACATCTACATTTAATTTTTATTCATTTATTTTTCGCCTTAAGATCCTTAAAGATGATGTTTGCACGTGGCCGTGTTTACACCACTTTTTCTCATGTTTAATTAATTAATTAATTAAAACAAGCAATTAACAAGTACAATCCCTACTTACAAATCCCTACTTAGCTCTATATATCCCACTTTCGACCACCTTTGTCTTTTTATTTATCGTTTTCTGTTTCGAGCCATCCAAGAAAAACACAAATTTCTTTTCATTTTGTATTTTCCAAATCATTCGAAAATATAATCAATTACATTTTTTTTAAAGGCTGCCCGCGCAACAATGAGGAGAGTTATTCAGGTTGGGTTTTTGGGTTTTAATTTCTCATACTTCCAAATGTAAAATATTGGACACCTTGCGTTTTGTTGTTGTTTAATGTTTAATTTAAATTTCTGATTTGCCAAAATCGCCTTGGAAATCTCAATCTTTGCATAAAAGAAGACGAGTAAATAAAGCATTTATATAAAAAAAAAGTGGCTGAGCAAAAGCGGTGCGCAAAGTTTGACACTTGGATCTCAAGGGATAATGTTAATCTCCCAAAGGATTTAGAGACCAACACATGGAAGAAAAGTAGCAGTGTTAGTCATAGTTCATAAACCACCGAAATCTCCACTTTCATAATCATGTGACTCATCATCATTATCACCGCCCATCATTTTCCTTTTGTTTAAAAAAATTTAAAAAAATACAACTAAATTGCTTTGGAGAAATTAATTTTCAAACACAAATTAAGGCTGAAATTACTCATCATTTTCTTCGTATAAAAAGAAACAAATCGAAGTTTTCTGATCAAAAGGTGTATGAAAAGTAAAAGTCGGGTTATGACTTATAACTCAAGTAGTTATCTAATAAGAAACATTTTGGTGGTTGAACATCCTTTCGTATGATATATATGGTAAGAAAAGAAAAGAAAACACAAAAACAAAAGCCGGTACGGGCGGACATTCTCCCACGTGTTTAGCTTGGTATTTTCCGGCTTGACCAAAACAATAGAAGCGGCCGTATTAATTAAGTGGTAAATAACGTTAATTTAACACAGAGAAAGATAAAGCATCGAGGCTTTTCGAACATTTTAGCGTCCACTAAGAGCCACCCACGTGCTTTTCAAAAAAAACAAAAACCTACCCACGTGCAAACGCCGACACGTGGCTCGTATTTTCATACCAATGTCTTTGGCCTCAAATAGGCGCGCGCAAAATCTATGGAAATATTCTTTACACAGCAGCTTAGCCTATCGAGAAGAAACAAATAATTTTGTATATAATTTAATTAATTTGTTGTTTTAACTTAATAAGAAGTAAAAGTGATTACTAAACTTAGAGCATTCCCCCGCACGTGCATCAGTGCGTGTTTCAGAACTATTGGATTAAAAATGTTTTAAATCTCAACTCAATTAAAAAAAACCTTTTATTTTATTAATTTATTCTTAGTTTGGCATTACTCATAATATCGTGAAACTCATAAAATAAATACAAATTTATAAATAAATCAAATCCTAGACATGTATGTATTTATAAAAAAACCCAAACACTATTTAAACATAGAAACACACCCAAAATCAACCCCAAAGTCAACAATTGTATATTTTTTGGGTGTGTCTATAAATGGGTTTTGAGTGTGTGTAATGATGGGTTTTGAGTGTGTTTATAAAGTGTTTTGGATGTTGAATTTTTTTATAATTTCAGCTACCATTTTGGGTGTTTTAGTGAAACTCCCTAAAATAAATTGAGGGAAGAAAAAAAAAGGAACAAAATCTTTGCCATACTTTACCCATGACAATACCATCAAGTCATACAAGCAAAACCCATGCATTCAGAATAAAAGCTTACCCTACTAGAAATTTATAACAACAAATGTTTTGCTTAAACTCCCCAATTACGTTTTTGAAATGGAGAAATTGTTATAAGATATTGGAATTTACAAGTTGAAATATACATTATCGAGTATTCTTTCAATCAAAATTACACTACCCATCCACATACATTTATTTATTATTATTATTTTTTAAATCGAACTTAAAATTTCTTTCAATATCGTAAAAGAGTGAATCGGAATGACGGGATGATGTAAAGTCTGTGAGAGTCCATTAGGATTTGGAGCTACTTGTTCACATTGAGCTCATAGGTGACTCAAAAATGTTTGTCACGCACACGCTGCAAGTTTTTTGGTTGTGAAATGTGAAAGGTTTACAATGTAGCTTACCTGTTTTTTGTTTGGTAGTCGGTGTGTGATTGGTGTAAGAAGAAAATTGAATGCTAATGAATACAGGGTTCATAATCAGATTATGACACGTCCAATCCAATCCATTTTATCAGCCTCGCAGCATCCTCATCACAAGATAATCTAAACTAATCCAAACCCTACCCGTTTTTTGGTTTACCTTGACGTGGTCAAATGAGGCTCTTTTTTCCTTTTCTTTTTTTTTTAAAAATTTATTTATAGAATTTTTGTTATCTCCTAGTTCTTATCCTATCCAATGGGGCAAAGGGCCCTTCTTTTTGGAGGTTGAAATTTGGGACTTAAAGACCAATAACAAATGGCAGATGATGGTTTCTACCCTTTATGTGATTTGACTTAAGCTTGGCTACTTGGAGTTTTCCACCAAAAAGGCCAAAAAGCTTGTTTGGTTTTCAATTATTTTTATTTATCTTTATTTTTATTTGCAAAAGTCTAAGACAGCTGCGGGAATTAAGAGGAAAAATAAAAGGTACATATGATGATTAAGTTCATGGTTATAACTTATAGCCTAGGTGGGAAAACTTCCAAAGCCTATTGGTCCTGAGATGGTTTATAAATAGTTCATAATTAAAATTTGAAAGGGGATCGTCCAGAATCTAGGCATAGTGAAAGTTGATCAAATGCAATGGATTGACCCGTCTCTCTACGTATGAATTGAATTGTTCTAATTTGAGTATATGTCCACACGTAATTTTCAAGTTCAACTGTCCAAAATCAAATTTCAAAACAAAGGAATAAAAATTGATTGCAACGTTTGGAAGTAGGAGCGTTCATTGTCGATGCCGCCGAGTAGTAATGTCTCAATAATTATGCTGTTGAATTATTAATCGTCATTTTAATTAATATTAAACAACTTTTTATAACGCTGTTTCCGCCATTCACTATTCCATCTATCAATGAAAATGTTAGCTAGATTTTACCTAATTAACATAACAACAATCCAACCAAAAAGAAGTAAGCATAATAGACTTACGGGCTTGGCAAAATACCCAAAAAATGTAAATTTCATACCATTTATCTAGTGTGCGATTGATGGATCAAACATACTATTTTATTCAAAGGAAAATAAAAGAAGCAATCAATAATGTTATTTATACGTTACACAATTAAATCTAATAATAGAGCAACTAATTTGCCTAATTTAGATAGAATGCAAGAAAAGGACACACCGATTTGATATTAGGGGAAGACCATTGAATAAGAAATGCATCAAATGGGAGGACGTTTAAAAGGGACACAAACCCAACAATTCTCTTTTCACATCAATGGATTGTTCTGCCTAATAGTTTTTTATTTAGTTGAATTCATCGATTGTCCCCTTTGTAAGTCTATGGCCTTACCCCTTACCTCCTGTAAAAGCAAAAAAAAAAGAAGAAGGATTTTTTTAATTAAAATGGGTCGAATCTCTCATAAATCTTGATTTAAAAGTGGCCCTATCATAAGTTTCCAAGTAATAATGAAATTAACAACCATGCATGAAACTGAAACCCAAAATTAAAAACGGATTTGACCGGTCAAATATGGGATAATTACACCCGTCGTTTAAAACAACTCGCAACCACCAAAAAAGCAACGAGTGTAAGAAGCTCCTCATCCCATGCATCGCAGACTATCGCAGCCTGCATTACGAAAGCCGAAGAAGCAAAACGGAAAGTCCGAGAAATTGACTTAAACGCACACGAGAGAACGAGAAATTGGATCTTTCGCGGGCTGCAACAGACGTAAGAGCTACGGAGTCGTCTCACAGCCCGTAGACACCAGAGAAAGACAGTCGTGAGGCTGCCCCCAGTCAACACGTGTCTCTACCGGCCCTAGCCTGTTGCCGGTTTCATAATGGCGACCTCAGCACAAAAAAGAGAACCTCTCAGGCTTTTAGAGGGCCCCACCTCCACCTCCACCACCACCTTCTGCATCACATCTTCTTTCTCTCTCCTCCCATCTACATTAACCAATAAGATAATATTATTTTAGGATCTTAAAAATAACGTAGAAATATTAAAAACAGAGAAAAAAAACAAAATTCTGTTTTTATTTTTAAATTTTTATAAATGTTAGAAGGAATGGTTTAAGAGAGTTGAGAGACAGAACGCGAAGAACAGAAACAGCAAATACACACGACACAGAGTTTAAAGGGAGAAGTTAGAACTGGAGTTGGAGTTAGAGAGAGAGAGAGTGAGAGAGAGGGAGAGGTTGCTATATTTTGAAAATTCCAACCGGCTTCTTTTTCTTCTTATCCAATCCGTAAGTCACTAAGTCCCTCGCATTTCTTTACTCTTTTCCTTCTCTTTTTTTTTAATAAATAAATTTACTTGGCTTTGAGAAAATTTGTTGGATAAAAAAGTTTGTTATGAATCAGCAATTGTGAAGAGATCTAATTTGGGTTTTAGGTTGCTTATTGTTTTTGGTTCAATTGGAAGTTCAAAATTAGGTTCTGATATTGATAAATTTTTGTTGCTTTGTATCACTGGGTTGGGTTTACATAGCAACCCAATTTTCATTTTTTTTCATATACAAAGGATTTTTGTTTCTTATCCTGAAAAAAAAAATAAAAAAATGTTGTCTCATTTTGTTCTTTCTGGGAATTTCTTGTTTTGCGTTTGTTTCCCATTCCATGATTTTGGCTCCAATATAGGCAATTTGACTTTCTCACATGTATAAAAAGGCAAAAAAGAAAAATATTCATTGAAAGATTAGGTTTTTTTTTTTTGGTTATCCTGAATGTAATTGAGCTTGATCGTTGGTTGATTGGATTCGGAAAGCTGAAAGTTTGACAGATAGTGCTGAAAAAGTTGGACTTTCTTCATTTAATTCAAGCAATCAGTGATAAACGTTGTTTAAAAAAATATTTTTGATAAAGAAAATCCAACATTCGTTTGAATTCAATTTGTTTCAATTCTGTCTGAATAGGTTGCCTCTGTATTTTGACCGAGTTTCCTGAGGGACTTGGGGGCTTGGATTGTTAGAATTTAGCTGTGGACTTTGTCATTTTTACCCAGAAAGAGGCTTTGGTTAGTATTGGGTCTGTGAATTTGGTGCCTTTCCATTGATTGTTTCACGGAGACATGTTGGAGGGTCGGTCCTGCTTGCTTTCGAGGGTGTTTTCGAGCTTTTGCCAGCCAGAAAGCAAGTGGCCTTACATGAGTTGCCGTCGGCTCGAAGATTTTGCAAATGGCAAGCGCCCATTAGGATTTGATGGTGAAGATGACCGAGAGCGTCGAGAAAGGAAGTTGTGTAAGCTATTGAATTGTTCTGAGATGGTGGAGACGACCCAGTCTTCATCTGAGCAATCCGAGGACCAGCAACAAGCTGGGGTTCCTTCAGATTCAGATTCCCTTATACATCGGATTGGTCGGGACAACTCGATCAGCTGCCTGATTCGGTGCTCCAGGTCTGCTTATGGTTACATTGCCTGTTTGAACAAGAGCTTCCGCTCGTTAGTTAGGACCGGGGAGCTCTATAAACTGAGGAGGCAGAATGATGTGATTGAGCACTGGATTTATTTCTCTTGCCACCTACTTGAATGGGAAGCCTTTGATCCCAATCAACGCCGGTGGATGCACTTGCCGAGAATGACGTCCAATGAATGTTTCATGTGTTCAGATAAGGAGTCTTTGGCTGTGGGAACTGAGCTTCTTGTATTTGGTAAGGAGGTGACTTCCCATGTAATCTTTAGGTATAGCGTTTTGACAAACTCTTGGTCTTCTGGAATGAGGATGAATGCCCCAAGATGCTTGTTTGGGTCTGCCAGCCTTAAGGAGATTGCAATTTTGGCAGGTGGTTGTGACTCACTGGGAAGCATACTTAGCTCCGCAGAGCTATATAATTCCGAGACTCAGACTTGGGAGACACTCCCGAGCATGAATAAACCCCGGAAGATGTGTTCTGGGGTTTTTATGGATGAAAAGTTTTATGTTATTGGTGGGATTGGGGGAAGTGATTCAAAGGTTCTTACATGTGGGGAAGAATATGATTTAAAGGCGAGAACATGGACAGAAATACCTAATATGTCTCCCGGACGTACTGGTGCAGCCGGAGAGCCTGATATGCCTGCAACAGGTGAGGCACCACCTCTGGTTGCAGTGGTAAATAATGAATTGTATGCGGCTGACTATGCTGACATGGAGGTGAGGAAATATGACAAAGAGGGAAGATTGTGGCTGACAGTAGGGAGATTGCCTGAGCGGGCAGTCTCAATGAATGGTTGGGGTCTTGCATTCAGGGCTTGTGGAGACCGGCTTATAGTTATTGGCGGGCCTAGGGCTCTAGGTGAAGGTTTCATCGAGATCAATGCATGGGTTCCCAGTGAAGGTCCTCCACAGTGGAACTTACTTGCACGAAAGCAATCGGGTAACTTTGTCTATAATTGTGCTGTGATGGGATGCTGAAGACTGGGATGTATAAGATTGGTTTGTACCTCAACACAGGAGTCTTGCTAATTGGTAATTCCCCCCCTTTCTTTTTTGATTGTTAAATCCCTTTTGGGGTGGGGGAGAATGGGGAAGAATTTTGGATTTTACTCAAGATTCAAGTGAATGTTTTCTTGGAATGAAATCTTGAGTAATTTTTTTTTTCCTTTTTTCAGTTTCATTTTCAAACTTCTATTGATTTTCCTCCGATGGAATTTGTCTTCCCCCATTTTTAGTGACATGAGAAATTTTAAAGGTTGGCATCATGTAGGTTAGGAACAGGTTCAATAATATGTTGTACCAACACATTGGTAGGTTGTCAGTTATTGCTTGCTGAAGCTTTTTAAATACACACAACTAGTTGTATGAGTTTCCCTTTCTTAATTGTATTTGTTGTGTTGTCTTCCAAAGAGGAAATAAATTCTGAGAGGTTTTTTTATCTTTGATGCTGGCTTATGTACTGATTACATTACCTGATGAAATCGATGGGCGATATATATTTGCAACTTTCCGTTTTAAAATTTATGTGAGTTAGTGAAGTGCAGTTTGGTTTACCCTTGTAATTGTAATATGAAATATTTAATTTTCTTCATAAACGTTTATGGCAAGAAACACAAAGTAATATGATGTGCCATGTGTAAGCTTTGATTCTATCTGAAGAACAATATAATTGAAGGTGTTTACGAATTGGAAGGCAAAGAAAGCCGTCGTCGAAAGATAAATATGTGGTGGTTGCCTTATCCACCTCCGTGCTCTTTTGCTTAATAAATTTCGTTTCTTCTCAAAAAAAGAAGGGAGTTCTGGTTTGTGACTCTAAAACCAGACGTGTGGAATTATACAAACAAACAAGTTGCTATGATTTAATTTCACTTGTATCTTCATCCAATTTATTTTTTGTTTAGTCTACGATAATCGTCTTACTTGAAGTTTCGCAAGAGGAAAAAATGGATTATGCTCGTCCTCTCTTCACTGAGTGCTGAGTTTTGCAGGTATGATTCAAAGTTCTTCTCTTTTTGCTATGCATTTTTCTGATTTGATTGGTAGGTTTAGAATTTCCATGAAGTAGCACTCGTTGACTTACCTTTTTTAATCAGACAAGATATAGATGTGGTCATGTCTATGCACGTTTAAGCTGCTTGACGTGATAAGATAGTTATCTGTTTCTTCTGTGTTGATTAGGGAAATTATGATATGATTGCTGTTCAACTTGGGCTACTACTATGGTCCCTCCCTCCCTTTATCTTTTATCCTGTTTAGTGGATGATAAAGTAGGGTGTCGTCTAATGCTCTCATAAGTTTTCTATTTTTTATCCTTTTTTCCGGAACGTTGTTTCGAACAAACAACAAAACAACTTGCAATTTGTCCACACACACAAACAAACAAAAAAACAAAGCAACTTGCAAGCTTTGAAGTGATACCAAAGCACAAACAATTCGTGGGCTTTTATACGTGTGTGCGCTCCTAAAATTGACCATTGCATTGCAACTTAGTCCAATAGCTCCAAAATGGGCTTGTCACCTTCTCATATGTTAATCATATAACCAGATACATGGCCTCTACTTTTACAGCCCATGGAAGCCTTCTAATCAATGAAGGCCAATATGATTTGTGCCCCACAAAAGATTACTATCCATGCTAAATGAAGTCCGGTGGTTCGTACTTGCCTAATATATAATTTAACTTCCATGGAAGAAACTTGTATGAAATGGGGATAACACTGTTTTGCCATACCCGTCAATCACAAACTATCACGTGTAAAAGTTATTACGCATAGCATACAGTGATTGGCTAGGGAAAACATATCGAAGTGGTAACAAGTTACTGATCTCAAAAACTTAATGGGAAACAATCGTTTTCTGGAAGCTGATATGATATGGCAGGAGCTAGAAATCAAACCCAACCTGGAGTGAAGATCATATGGTAGCAAATCAAACACACAACACGTATGAAACAACACACTTATCAACTTGTGTCTTCCTTTTTGGTTTTTTTCTAATCAAAACCAGGTGGTCGGGTGTCAAAAGGGAATATAAATTATAATGTAAATCATATGTATCAAGAAAATCTCCAGCGGCTAATTGGCCCTTGTGTTGGGTTTCTTCTATAATGTCTAAATTGACCACTCCAAAAAAAGTCCATGTTTTCCAGGAGGAGCAGTTAAAAACTGTTAGTGCATAATGCAGGTGGCCCATAATCAAACGTAAAGTTCAAATGCCAGCTATTTCTTTAGGGGTGGATAAGGCCACCATCACCATGGATTTAAATTCCTTTTGATGCCCTAATAATGGCTTTTATGTCCTTCTCCCACTAATTGAAGAACATGGGATGGGATATGGTAGAAGAGAAAAAAGCAGATTTCGTTTCTCCTTTTTATAGTATCTTTCAAGACAATGGTGGGTGGTGGCATAAAATATCTGATAAGAATTAGTGGTTTAAAATATTGGATTGGATGGCCCATTTCCTCCAAAAGTAACCCCCATAAATATCCCAATCTTTTTTCTAATCTTCCGGCAATTAATCTATGGGAAGCAGCCCTTGCTCTTGTTTTTTTTTTTTAAAAAAATTTATTTTATTTATACAAGCGATAGTCTAGATTATTGGGGAATGAGAAATTCACATACACAACTATGATATGAGCAGATGCTACAATGAGGAGTTTAAAGTGACAAGGCTATTTAAGTAGGTCAATTCTACCATCAAAACATTGAAAATGTTTAAGTCTCGTGATTTCTTTACATTTGTTGAAGGTGAGATTGACCTCCTCAAATAGTCTCCTCACTTCAAACTCTTCATTATAGCCTCTCCACACAACTATGATGCCATAAAAATTTAAACCTAAGACTTATGATATGCAAATCAAAGCGATTTTCCATTAATTCAGACCCATTAAGGAGCAGCCCTTACTTTAAACTTCAACCACAAGCATTAAAAACCCACGTAATATATATTAGGGATATTCGAATTTGCAGAGGCATCTACCATAAATTTTGTCCCCAATTTTACCACAAAGAAAAGAGGAGAGCATTGTCATGGGAAGAGGATATAGCACCTATGCTTAGGTGACACCTCAATTCTATGTCGGGCCAAAAAAAAGTGACACCTGCATTTCATGTTTTTTCTTTGGTTGGTTTTGGACTTTTTAAGATCTTCAAAGATATGATCACTACACTTGGTGCCTACTAATCTAGAATGCTATGAGCCTATGTGGAATATCAACTCAGCTATAAATCATGTGCTGAGACTAGCTATAAGATTCGCTCCAGTGATTGAAAGAATGAATGAAATTGACATCAACGGCGGAGAACCTTCAGTGATGCTGCCACATGATTATTCTATAATTAGGAATTAACAGCCTGAATTGTTAATAAATCATGAAGAATTCCAGAAACTCTATTTCATTTTATTTCAATGTATTATTGTTTAGAATTGTCCTAATTACATTCAATATTGTCTTAATTTGTAGCATCTTAATCAAGATGACAGTCATACATGCCATGTTCTAACATATGTTATGATTTTGTCATTTGTTTTAACAAGTAAGAAATCACCATTTGTGTTGCTTAGAAACTTCTTCTGCAATAAATTTTGGGCCACTTTATTTTTTTTTTCTTTTCTTGTTGTTGATAATAAGCGATATTAAAGAAGGAGAGATTCAAATACAAAACCTCGGGTATATAGATAACTGCTCTTAACATTAACTATTTGAACTACACATCCGTTGCAATTTTAGGCTATGTTGTTGAATTTCATTATGGTTGAAGTTTCTAACAACATTGTGTTGCTAAGAATATTCAACAACTCTGACCGCATTTCTTTATCTTTGAATTTCTAGAAAGATTTTGACATTTCCAAATTCCAATTTCCAAGCATAGGTGGTTTTCTCCATTATTAGTGGATTTTCTTTTCCACGAGGATATATACATATTTGTTTTGCCATAACCATGAAAGCAATGGTTTTCCTCCCTTTTTTTCCCATAGATCTCTTTATCCCTTTCTCTGTTCCGTGTGCATGAATAAAACGATGAATAATTTATTTCTGACCGAGCTAGAAAGATTGGGGGACTGACATGACATCATGTGCATTATTGAACACAGTAGTGTTGTGTATATGTATGTACCAAAATATAGCCATAAGCATAACCCCACAAGCACAAGACAAGAGTGAGTGACATCGTTGAACCCTGCAAGCAGAGGAAGCCCATGCAACCAACAACATAACATGATGATATGCATACAACTTACAATCAGAAAAAAGCTAGGAAGAATATCATATGGTCCATATCTGCCAAGTGGTTGAGGCACACACATTATGGAAACTTATAACCAAATTTTCATGCACCATTTATTATGACTCAGCATTTGACAGACCACACCAGACCACTTCAAAATTAAAATCAAATTTTATTATAAGCTTTTCTTTATTTATTCATTTCAAGATACACCTAATGTGTGTGTATGTGTGACAGCTCAAAGCCCTCAAACGCAGTGTGTGTGACACATACATAAATATATATAATCAGTTGTTGGGAATTAAGCCAAAGGAAGGGAGATCCATGTTACGAGGATTACGTCATGAAGCACTAATTAGAAAAGAAAATGAAATTAGGTTCACTCACCACGTGCTTTGCACCAGCAGATGACTCAGAAGATGACCTCCTCCCACACCCACACCCACATGGATCTTTCGAGTTTTCCTTTTGGCAGATGTCGCACGTTCCTCTCCCTCTCTCTCTCTCTCTCTCTCTCTCTCAAAACTCGGATACATCTATCTATAAATCGATTCATGCCCTTTGTCCCCAGTTATATTCGTTCTTTTATCTGCCGTTGGTGCTTTTTTTCTGGTCAAACCTCAAGCTGGAAGGAGAAGAAAAATCTTCCTACAAGGCTAGTTAATTAATGTTAGAGCTTTCTGCACTTGTGATTATGAGTGGATGATAATCTCCATTATCCGATTTAGACCTAAACCCCAAACTTATATATAAACAAAACCTCCAAGTACACGAGCCAGAGAGCGAATGCTTTTAACTACTTAAACTAAAAATGTACTACAAACTATCAACCTTTTACTGTATTCGATGGCATGTTTTTTCATTAGCAGGGGCTTCTAACTTAAGCTCGCCACGAACAAGAAGATTTCAATTCTTATATCCTCCATTTTCTTGAATAGAACTGAGAAATTTATCAGTTGAATTGATAATTAATGCATTCATGGCATATTTTTATTTGGAGTAAAAAATGCTGAGTTCTATTGGTCAGAAGACGAATTAAAAACAAATGAAGCGGGGCGATCCAGCATAATCCAGACAAAGCGAAGTGTGTCCCCATTTTCTTAATCTTGATTGTTGCTTGGGATGCCTTGCCTTTTACAAATCGTAATTATTTCATCTCAATAATTAAGTTGAAACATCTAAATCTAAAATATATATAAGACACTGCCAGGCC